AGAGCTTGCCTAGCACCTAGCACAAGTGAGGCACTGGGTTTGATCCTCAGCACCACATATAAATAAAGGTCTATCAACAACTAAGAAAATTAAATTTACCAAAAAAATTGAAAAGGTGACAAATAGAGGGAGCAGGATGCACAGGTTTTTTTTTCCCTTAAGGTAAACAATTGTTTGAGGCATAATTTAATCACCCTAAGCTGCATAAATCTTAGTGACAGCTCAATGAATTATGACAAATATGTACACCCAGAGAAGGGGCACAACCCCCTGGGTGAGGAACTGCAAATCAGGGGTGTGAGAGCCTGAGAGAGAAGGAAAAGACAGCCACTGGGTAGGAGCTGGGTGGCAGCAAAGCCCTGGGATCTAACCACAGAGAACACAAGGATTCCCCCAGCTTCTAGCGAATGGAATGCATGGAATGCCATCAAGAGCCACACAAACCAGGCGAGGCGGGATTCTCCTGATTTTTAAGATGAAATTTAGGTCCACGGGACTGTGTGAAGCTGAGCTAGGACATACAGTGGAAACTGGCATATTTTTTTATTTGTGCGTTCTGCATTCAGTCGCAAAAGATCACACTGGATGATCAGGCACAGGTACCACTCTTTGTTCTATTCTAAGTCACAACAGCTGAGCTTTAGAACCCAGAAGGCTCCTGCAATGGACTCATCCTGCACTGCCAGGAACAGGATGCTCCAGTGGTGCTGCTATCCACAAGGAAAAGAGGTGCTACAAACTCATAAAGGGGGGAAAGAGGGCCCCATAAGAAAATGGGCAAAAGACAGAAATAGCCAAGTCAGCGACCCCAGACAACAAAATACTACAAGAATCTAAACCGTGTGCTTAACCAAGAAAATACAGACTAATACAAAAATGGAAAATCTTCTTTTTTTTTTTTTTCTACATTCAAAGGGAGTTTTAAAAAATGGTATTTAGCTGAGCATGGTGGTGCACGCCTCTACTCCCAGCAACTCAGGAGGCTAAGACAGGAAGATTGCAAGTTTGAGGCCAGCTTCAGCAATTTAGAGAGACGCTGTCTCAAAAAGAAAAATAAAAAGGGATAGGGATGTGGCTCAGTGATCAAGCACCTCTGGGTTCAGTCCCCAGTATTAAAAAAAAAAAAAAAAACACATTTAATTTTTTTAAATATATACAATATTGCTACTCTCATCTTTTTTTTTACATTTTTTTTTTACTTGTCAATGGATCTTTATTTTATTTATTTAGATGTGGTGCTGAGACTCAAATCCAGTGCTTCCCACATGCTAGGCAAGTGCTCTACCACTGAGCCACAATCCCAGCCCTACATATTTAATTTTGATGATATTACAGGGAAAGGACCCTTTTAACACATTGCTGTTCTGGTACAAGATGGTAAGAACAACCATGGAGTCTGGTGTGGTGGCAAATGCCTGTAATCCCAGTGATTCATGAGGCTGATGCAGGAAGATTGCAAATTGGAGGCCAGCCTGAGAAACTTATCAAGACCCTCAGCTACTCAGCAAGACCCCGTTGCAAAATTAAAAATAAATAAAAATAAAAAGGGCTGGGGACGTAGCTCAGTAGTAAAGTATCCCCAGGTTCAAGTTCCAATACCAATTAAAAAAAAAAAAAAAAGAACCATCAAGGAGGATAATTTGTGGATATTTGATACAACAAAAACTATGCAAGCCCTGTGACTGAAAAAGTCAACTCCTAGGACATCTTCCAGTGGCCTGCAGGATAACAGATTCCAAAGATGTCCAAATCCTAATCCTCAGGGCTTATGACTGTTAGTTTTGCATGGTAAAGGGAATTCAGGTTGCAGTGAAAATGAGATTGCTAATCAGCTGATGTAAAATTAGGGARATTATCCTAGATTATTTAGAAAACCCAACATAATCACAGAGGTCCTTAAAAGTGGAAAAAGTAGACAAGAGAACAGGAGAGGCAGCAACACACAGAGAGAGATGTGCACAAGGTTACCATTGACCAAGGAATGCAGGTGTCTCTTGAAGCTGGAAAGGCAGGAAACAGATTCTACCTGGACTTCAGCCCGGTGGAACTTATTTTGGGCTGCTGACCTCCAGAACTGCGAGATGATAAATTTACATTGTTTAAGCCACTAAATTTGTGGTATTTTGTTATGGCCTCAACAGAAAATGAATTCACTACCTAAGAAAATGGCAGATATGTACAAGTATTTCTTTCCTTTTTTTTTTTTTTTTTTTGGTACTGGGGATTGATGATTCAGGGGCACTTTAGCATTAAGCTACATCCCCAGCACCCTCCCCTTTTTTCATTTTAAGACAGGATCTCATTAAGTTGCTTAGGGCTCCACTAAGTTGCTGCAGTGGCCTCAAACTTGTGATCTTCCTGCCTCAGCCTCCTCAGTCACTAGGATTATAAACGTGTATCACAGCACCCAGAAAGAAACATAAATTTCTGAGTACATCCATGCATAAAATACAAAAATAGTTACCGTGTGTGTAAATATGACTGTACAACCCCCTGTGTGCAAATATGACTGCACAACCGGTATAACTACACATCATGTACAACCAGAAGAATGAGAAGTTATACTCCATTTAGGTATAATGTGTCAAAATGCATTCTACTGTCATGTATAACTAATTAGAATAAAAAGAAATAAAAGTTGATATTCTCTGTCCATCTTCATCATTGCAAAATAAAATTCTGTTGGGGGGGGGGACATGGATCTGGAAAAAAATCCATCCTGAACTGAAAACACCAGTTACCTCTCTGGAAAAGGATGAGGTGACTGCAATTAGGGAGGAACTTTTACTTAAAACTGCAACATTCTATATTGTTTTAACACATTTAAGGAAAATGTGTTCACCCAYGCATTGCATAATTAAATGTTAAGTTTTAAGACAGGAGTTAGCCTATAGAGCATTCATAGCATATATTTCAAATCACCATAAAGTAATAAGACTCAAGAAATGAAAACTACAATGAGCACTATAATCTTTTCTACCCAACCTAAAGGCTCTACAAAGATGGAGACCTTGAAGTCCACATATAAATACTATCAGTGGCTCCAATGGTGTAGGCAGAAGACGGAGAAGAGGAAATTCACTATACACCCAGAAGACATACTTCTCCAAGAAATCAAAATGAACCTTGTGGAAGTATGAAACATATCTCTCATTTTCAAAGGCTCAGGTTTTCTGACCCCTGTCCACCCAGCCAGGGTCCCACCAAGATATACTCCCTGGAACCACCATTAGTGACTTTTGGGCAAGTTACTAATCTCTGGTTAGTTTTCCCAAGGTAAAAATAGTTTGCTGCATTACTTCACCTCCCTGCCAGGATGAGCGCCAGGAATCAAATGGAATGAATTGACAGGCTACATACATCCCAGGAGCCTGTAGATCCCAATGTTAAGACTCAATCGGCTGAAAGAATACTGTGTACATGGTGAAGCACGGCACTGTAGAGTGTGACATGGCTCTGGACAAAATGAGCAGTCCTGATACAATCACCGCCCAGGCAAGGAAGGACAACTACCTGTAGGGAGTCCAGGCAAAGTCAAAGAGAAAACAGCTCCAGGGGAGTCCAGAGCTCAAGTTATCAGCAAATCACACCATAATAGCAGTCATTAAGTGAGTCCAGTATGAAACTTTTGTGGCATTCCCTCTTTTGCAAAGAGACTACTGAACTACCTCCCCTGTGGCTTCACAAGTCAGGTAAAAGCAAGCTCTCAGTCCAGTCACAGCCTCCCAAGGGGTCCAGACTAGGGCCCTGGTAAAGGTGGGTCCACACTGAGATCCAACATGTGACCTCATGAACACAATGTTCTACCCAACAAGAGCTGTCACATGCTTCCCCTTACACAGACTCCACTGAGAGGGAAAAAATAACCAAAAGCAGGGCGTTCTGCCTAGACTTGGGGGTTTTTTGTTTTGTTTTTTTCAGTACTGGGACTGAACCCAGGAATGCTTTACCAGTAAACAACATCCCCAGAGCTTTTTATTTTGAGACAGGGTCTCCCTAAGTTGCTTAGGGCCTTGCTAAGTTTCTGAGGCCTAGAACTTGCGATCCTCCACCTCAGTCTTCCCAGTGGCTGGAATTACAGGCACGCGCCAGGCTACGTTTGACGATTAACTGACGTAAAGACCCTTAATCTGCGGGACCTGGTGGTGCACGCCTGTAATTCCAGTGGCTCAGCAGGCTGAGGCAGGAGGATCGCAAGTTTAAAGCTAGGCTCAGCAACTTGGCCAGGCCCTAAGCAATTTAGCGAGACCCTGTCTCAAAAGTAAAATTTTAGTAAAGGGCTGGGGATGTGGCTAAGTGGTAAAGAGCCCCGGGGTTAATCCCTGGTACCAAAAACAAAATAAAAAAAGACCCCAAGTCAAACGCACTCTCACTACCCTCCCCCGGCTTTCTCGCTGTTCCCCCTGCCCTTCCCTTAGGGAAGAACCCGTCTCCAAACCTCCAAACTCACTCATTCATCTGGACCAGCTTCTGGGTGACACCTAACCAAAGCCGGCCAGGCCGAGTCCCCAACCTAGACCCCTGCCAAGAACAATAGTATCTCCTGCCAGCACCACCTGCATGCCTGCACAGAGAAATGGTCACAGGAAAGGACACCCAAACCGAGGAGCGTCCTGCCAAACTCAGACACGAGCGTAATCTCTCAGAGTAACGCCGGTCGTGCCTCTGCACATTCGGAGGAGAAGCCCAGGTCCCTCGCCAGAGCCCTCCCCAGCCAAGCGCTGAGCACCGCAAGCGTCGCCTTCCCCAGCGGCGAAACGCGGAGACACTGTCCAAAGGACCCCAGGCGGAGCGGGCGAGGCTGACCTCCACCACCGGGCCAAGAGCGCGGGACGCCGACAGGAGCTGGCCAGGTATGGCCCGGGACAGGTGGCCCCTCTGCAGCGCGCTACTCTCCTGAGCGGGAAGGGGCACGGGGAGGAAGTGACCCGAGCGGCCCGGCGACAGTCGCATAGGGTCTCCGGCTGCGCACCAAGAACAGGGAGCCACCCGCACCGTACCTGCCACCAAAGGATCCGCCTCCTCGTCAGCCTCCGCCTCAGTTGCAGACGCGACTGCCGCCGCGGGCAGCGGATCCATAGCGCGGCCAGTCATGTGAGCCCGCTCGCCCACGTGACTTCCTCCCGCGCCCGCCGCCAACCCTGCCTCGCCCCGCCCCTCCTGGATCGCCCCTCCCACAAGCTGGAGGACCACGCCCCCGACCCGCACCGTCACGCCCATGCGCAGCCTGGCCACGCCCCTTGGCGGCCGCACCCCGCCCATCAATCGCCCCAGTCCATCAACCGCCCCGGTCAGGCCTCGCCCAGCCTCAGGGACCAGCCTCAGCCACGTGGCTCGGCGTGGCTGGAGCTCTCCGGCCTCAGACCGAGTTATCGGCTCGCGGTAGCCAGTCACTGCTTCTTGTCACCACAGCCCGCCAGCTCATTGCCGCCTTCGCGCGCTTTGCCTCTGCGGATCACTCAGCAGGTCGTCCGCTCACCTGGTGCTGACTTACTTCCCATTCACACACCTGCCTGCTCTCAGCTCTCATCATGGGCGCTCTCGCTCTTCGCCCCCCACACATCCTTCGTTTGCTCAATCACTCGCCCTCCCAAACTCTCCCCAGCGCGCTCAGGTTGGCCGGCTGCCACCTGGAGTCCAGACAGGGCCTGTGCTGGTGCAGATGCCCAGGTACGGACCTGATCTGGAGGACCAACAGCTGGCCCATGAGGAACAGATGTCTTCGCTATCCCCAGAGGGGAGCAAGGATGTGGGTGCACTCAGGTTCAGGGCAGGGGCCTTGTCTGAGCTGGTGCGGGAGAAAGGAGAAATYAGTTAAAAGGAGCAGAAGAGGGACCTCAAACAGCTCCAAGCACCCAGATCCTCCCAGACCTAAAAGGAGAATGGCTGGAGAGATTGGTAAGGCTCCATCAGGGAGGGTCTTGTTTCCAAAGTAAGGACTTTGCACCTTCTGACAGTAATGTTTAGCCATGTTAAGGGAGTTGGTTACTGTAACTGGCCACAAATCACCTGGTCAGGGTCCTAGGAAGGGTCTCAAATCTCTCCCAGTACCTCAATCATTTTCCTCTACATCCCAGTACTAAAATGATAGCTTCTATTCAGAAAAGCTTCAAATGCTTAAGTGGAATTACTTTTTTAATCATTAGTTTTGTTTATTTTGGTTGTTMGGTACCAGGGATTGAATGTAGGAGTGCTTAACCACTAAACCATATTCCCAGCCCTTTTTTATTTTTTTGTTTTGAGACAGGGTCTTGCGAAGTTGCTTAGGGCTTCACTCAATTGCTGAGGCTGGTTTTGAACTTTCGAATCCTGAGGATTACAGGTATGGTCCATCACCCATGGCCAATCATTTGTTTTTTAAAGATACTATCACATTTCAAGAACACTAATCTCCAGGATATATGAAGAATTCAAAAGACTTAATACCAAAAAATAAATAAACAACCCAATCAATAAATGGGCTAAAGAACTGAAAAGACAGTTCTCAGAAGAAGATATACAAATGATCAACAAATATATGAAAAAGTGTTCAACATCTTTAGTAATTAGAGAAATGCAAATGAAAACTACTGTAAGATTTCATCTTACCCCAGTCAGAATGGCAGTTATCAAGAATACAAGCAATAATAAGTGTTGGAGAGGATGCGGGGAAAAAAAGGTACACTCCTACTTTGCTGGTAGGACTGGAAATTGAATGACTACTTTGGAAAGCAGTGTGGAGATTCCTCAGAAAACTTGGAATGGAACCTCCATTTGACCCAGCTATGCCACGCATTGTCTATACCCAAAGGACTTAAAATCAGCATACTATAGTGACATAGCTGCATCAATATTTATAACAGCTGAATTCACAATAGCTAAACTGTGGAACCAATCTAGATGCCCATCAATAGAAACTGTGGTATATATACATAATGGAATATTAACATTAAAAGAGAATAAAATTACAGCATTATACACCTGTAATCCCAGTGGCTCCGGAGGTGAAGGCAGGAGGGTTGTGAGTTTAAAGCCAGCCTACACAATTTAGCAAGGTGCTAAGCAACTCAGAGAGACCGGGTCTCTAATAAAATACAAAATAGGAAAAGGGATGTGGCTCTGTGGTCAAGTGACCCTGAGTTCAATCCCTAGCACAAAAAAAAAAAAAAAATTATGGCATTTGCAAGTAAATGGTTGGAAATGGAGAATATTATGCTAAGTGAAGTAAGCCAATCCCAAAAAACCAAAGGCCAAAAGTTTTCTCTGATTAGTGTGATTAGTGGATGCTGATTTATGAGGGAGGGGCCATGGGAAAAATGGAAGAAATTTGGANAGAGAGAGAGAGAGAGAATTTTTAACATTTATTTTTTAGTTCTCGGCGGACACAACATCTTTGTTGGTATGTGGTGCTGAGGATCGAACCCGGGTCGCACGCATGCCAGGCGAGCGCGCTACCGCTGAGCCACATCTCCAGCCCAAGACCGGGTCTCTAATAAAATACAAAATAGGAAAAGGGATGTGGCTCTGTGGTCAAGTGACCCTGAGTTCAATCCCTAGCACCAAAAAAAAAAAAAAAAAATTATGGCATTTGCAAGTAAATGGTTGGAAATGGAGAATATTATGCTAAGTGAAGTAAGCCAATCCCAAAAAAMCAAAGGCCAAAAGTTTTCTCTGATTAGTGTGATTAGTGGATGCTGATTTATGAGGGAGGGGCCATGGGAAAAATGGAAGAAATTTGGATTGGGCAAAGGGGAGGATGGGGAAGGGTTATGGGGGTAGGAAAGATGGTGGAATAACATGGACATCATTACCCTAGGAACATGTTTGATTGCAGGAATGGTGCATGTCTACACCATGTACGACCAGAGAATTGAAATGTTGTGCTCCTTTTGTGTTTGATGAATTGAAATGCATTTTGCCTCATATACAACTAAGTAGAACAAATAAAAATAACAATTTTTAAAAGATACTATCACATTTCAGTTTGCTAACTATGTTAATATTTTTTTAAAGTTTAAGTTTTTTAGTCTTCAACTCTCTCCACTCTTAAAACACATTATCGTCACATTATTGACACCAAAAYATCCATCCTCCATGCAAGCAGGTATAATCAATGACTATAAACTCTCCTGACCATAAAATACAGTTCCTCTTCTGCCGGTGAACATCTAACAGCTTTCCCAAGTTGCAGTGGCCCCTGTAGGATCCTATGACCCTCTACCCACATCTGTGGTTACTTCCTTCCACCACCCTGGGCTTCCTTTCAGCTGCTGTTGCTCCAAATGACATACTCAGCATTTTCCCCGACTCCAAGCACCACACACGCACATTCTGCTGACTTCCTGGTATTATTTGGGACATATCTTTGTCTCCCACTAGATCAAACTATCTTTATTAAATTTCTTTTTTGTGACAGCATCTTGTTATGTTGCACAAACTGGCCTTGAACTCCTGGACCCATGTCCTCTTCCTATCTCAGCCTCTAGGCACATGGCATCAAGTCCAGCTCTAAATCTTTATTAAATTTCTAAAAGTTCATGGCACTCTCAAAACTGTAAAGTATTAGATAATTATAAAATTATACATATTTCCAGAATGATAGCATATTAAATTTAACACCCCTGACAGATGGTCACATATCTCTTTAAGTGGTTTTGACTTAGTTGCACATTCTGATCACCAGGGGAACATTCAAAAATATTCTCCTAGAGCTGGTCCCTACATATTCTACACAACAAGAGCCCTCACATGATTCCCCTTACACAGAGACAGAGAGAGGGGAAAACATCCAAAGAGCAAATCTGGAAGGACATTCTGCCTAGACTACATTCTGCCTAGTGGAGGGCTACACCTCGGTGCAGTGGCACATATCTGTAATCCAAGAGACTTTCAGAGGCGGGGGCAGGAGCATCACAAGTTCAAGACCAGTCTGAGCAATTTATCAAGACCCTGTCTCAAAACAAAATAATTAAAAGGCCTAGGGATGTAATTCTATGGTAAGAGTGTTTGCCAAGCAAGTGTGAGGCCCTGGGTTCAATCTCTAACACCACCACCACAACAAAAATATGAAGTCAGGGGCTGGGAATGTGGCTCAAGGGGTAGCGCGCTCGCCTGGCATGCGTGCGGCCCAGGTTCGATCCTCAGCACCACATACCAACAAAGATGTTGTGTCCGCCGAGAACTGAAAAATAAATATTAAAAATTCTCTCTCTCTCTC